TTTTGGACACATTGTTTATCTGATTATTTTTCTTTAAGTCATACAAAATATTCTTAATATTAAGCACAAACTATGAACTTGTACAGTTATACTGAATAACTTGATTATTTTATTACACAGTATAGAAATTTATGAGGAAGTAGATATAATTAATTCATTCCCTTGTTTAAAAATGTGCATACATGTATTTAGATGGTGAGTATTTCAGTCAATCCACAAAACATTACTCTGATATAGCTACCTACCCTCTATTTTTGAAAGTAATTAGTAAATAGGAAGACAGGTTTACATTCCAAAAACTACCCATCAGTGAAAATGAGGAAATGAATTGCTCTAGGGGAAATGTTGCCTATCCATAATGCATTACTGAGTTAGTGAACACAGAATATGATTCTATATAATATTATCACCATCAGAGAATTTAACCACTGTTTAAGTCACATAAAGCACAGCTTGCTTTTGGCTGTTAGAATTCATACATCTTACCAGCAAATCCGCAAAGTGCACACTTGTTTTATTTTATGCTGATTAGGGACTTCCGAGTTGTTGTTCCTCTGCACATTTCCTCCTCCTCCTCCTCCTCCTTCACCTCCTCCTCCTCCTCATCCTCCTCCTCCTCCTCCTCTTTACCTTCCCCCATCTCCCACCTTTTCTCCTGGACATTCCCCCATTCCTCCCCAGTGGCCTCCTTATTTTTCCTCTTCAGCACCTCTACCTTACCAGTTAGATGCACTGCCCATGGTGTGTGTGAGGCAAAGGCTGACTGTGTTCTCCAGTGGCTGCAGGAGATTGCTTATGCTGTACTCTACAGAAAACATGGACTGAAATCCCAGGAGCAGCTACTTCCGACTCAGCACAGCTGCATGCAGGAGTGCTGGAATCCTGTATTTGGCACATGCTATGAAGAAGGACATTGACTCATAAGTGGAGAAAACCCAGACAGAGTAACAAAATAAATAACTGAATAAAAGTATGTACAGTAAATTTAATTTTAAAGAAATTTCAAATTATAAGCCCCGGACAAATCTTGGTTCGCTTTACCTGTAAACCAAAACTGTACACATGCCAGGGCTACTTTGTATGACACAGAAGTTAAAGCAAAGTTGGTGCAAAGGTTGATTTTGAAACAGGGAGTGAGTCTAGAAAGGTTGGTGAGTATACCTGGATTTGGGTAATTCAAGCTCTAAGGAATTGCTACATATAAAAAATAAATGTGAGGAGGGCCTAGGTCCTGATCCAAATGATGTCACCGGCCTTGAAGATCCCCCATGGAAGGCCTCACCCTCCATGGGGAACAGAAAGGGGATAGGATAGGGGGTTGGTTGGTGGGGGCAGGGGAGGAGGGGAGGGAGAGCAAACTGGGATTGATATGTAAAACAAGGTTGTTTCTAATTTTCTAATTTAAATAAAAAAAGGAGGAAAAATAAATGTTAAAATGTTAGAAATAGTATATATAATAGATATAGACATGTGTATTTGGTATTGGTTTTAAGGAAAATGTATAAACATTATGGGGCTGCAAAGCAAGAGATGGAGAATTAAAAAGCACTATAATTTGAATTGTGTATGTTGCTTATGTAATCTATCTACTAGTTTGCTTCCTAAATTTTCATGCATTTTCTAGTTGCCTAGTAGCAAGTGAAGGGGAAACTAAATAAAATTAAAAAGCCTCCCAAATTAAGGAAAGAGAGAATGCTTAGCAGAAATGGAAGCAGGAGAGCCATTTGAGTTTTTAAGAGCACGGACTGATGGTGTGGGATCTGTCATGAAGAACACTAACTGATGGTGTGGGGTCTGTCATGAAGAGCACTGTGGGGTAGAGGTGTTAATCCACCTCATTGAACCACATGGAGGCTAAGACATTAGACAACATGAAGCCTGATCCCATATGAATTTGACGAGAAATTAGGAGTAGTGCTGAACACTGATAGGGCATTTCCAGTAGCTTCTGAAGGCTGCATTGCCTGCCCACCAATTGCTTATGCCTGTTCCTGCTCAGGTTAATCTGTTAACCAATAATAACTGGAAGGGGTTGGTCTGTGATTCTCTAGTTAGGTTTTCCCCTGAAAGTGAAGGGAGATAATTAATGAACTGCAGAGAGGCTGCAGAGGGCAGAAGGCAATTGCTCCTGGTTAAGTCTCACAGAGCACATCGTCAGTGAAGATCACAACATCACTCCATGGATTGTGGAATCTCACTGTTTCCCCCATCTTTCCCTACTCTTCTGTCTACCTTATCTTCTTGTCTTGAAACACTTGTCATGCTACGGCAGTATTTAACATTTTTACATATTACCTCTTTCTGCCAGCTACGATGTGGGTCAATGACAGTGAGTATCTTTGATAGTTTTCTTTACTGACACACCAAAATGCTTTGAAAAAGAGTCTGGAGCTTAAGAGGCATTGAATATTGTGGAAAACAACTTCTGGGGGTAGGGAATAAAAAAGAAATCAAGCAACTGGGTATTCCCCAAGGCTTCTGAGATAATGCAAATAGAGAGGCCTAAGTGTCTGAATAATTCAGTGGAATTCAGCATGACATTTCCACAAGAGGACACTTTCTGGTCTGCACTGCTGCTAACTTTGACTTTAGTCCCCTCCAGGGAGCCAGATCTAGGGTCACTTTAGGAAGGAATGCTTCGAAGATAAAGGAACTTGTTTCAATAAATAGAGGGGATGTAGGGATGGTTGGTGGTTGGCCCTGGCTAGTGGATTTCACTGGGAAAAGATGCTTCTCAGTTTTATGTGTAGGGAGTGTGGACACTTCTCACTCATTTAAAGGTTACTATGGCTGGGTGGGTGTTATAAAGTAAGATTATTATAAAATATATAACTTAATTTAATTCATTTGGAAGAACAGAACTGTGATGAATTAGCATACATTTCATTGTAGACTTGACTAACATTTATGCATATTTTAGGTCAGATGTTTCTAAGCTCCCATGTGGACACTAGTGTTGGTTCACAATAAAAATGTTTAATGTGAAAATAACAAAATTAACATAGTCATGCCCATTAAAATAGCAATTCCATTCCTAGGAATCTGTTCTGTTTCTACATAAAAATACAATTAGCTACAAGAATATTCATCATAATATTATTATTTATACTTGAGGAAGAAAATAAAAGCACTCTACCTCACTGCCAAGTCTTCAGTGTATTTAAAGAATGCAAATTTATGCAGTCATGGTATCCAAGAATATTTGTTGAAATGAAAACATAGCCATCAAATAAGACATTGAGATTTGCAGCAGTAAAAAGCATTATTTATTCAAGTGTGAAAAACTTGATAGAGTATTGACAGTAGTTATTTCAGACTGAGGGAAGCTTGTTATTTCAAAATTAGTTTTTTTTCCTTTTCTGTGTTATTTCATTTTTAGTTTTGTTTTCTTACAATAGGCAATAAGGACACCTAACCCAAACCTCTGCATTACCAAAGGGTACACATCTATACATTACATGTTCAGAACGCTCCCATATTGTCCCAATGCATGCTATTAAGAAGACATAAGCACTCTGGAGAACTATGTTCTCTTCACTTGATAGTTACGCATGTTTGGGACATAGAATAAGGCCACACTTGACATATATATCAATAATTGTGAATGCAAATATATGAAGCTCTATCTTAATTAATTTGTACAGCTTTAATGGTTTAGAACATAAACTCACATGACTTTGTATCAGTATAGTCGTGGGAGGTGAGTTACATTCTCTTTCACATTTTAGAAAAGCTAAGTTTTAATGCTCATGCTGTATATGTGATTGGCCTAACGTCATTCAACTAACATATTCTGAGCTCAGTAATCATGTTTTCTTGGTGCGGGAAATGGGATTGATGGTCTTGTGAATATTAGACAAATAGCATCTCAGATATGCATAATTGCAGCAAAATCATACGTTATATGCTCTAATGAACATAGGATGTCTTCAGGACTATTTCCATGCTAAGTCATGCATAAGACCTGACACAAATGGAAGGATTTCCCTTGAATAAACAGAATGAGCAGGAGCATTGACTGGGCAGCTTCTGGGTGAAGGGTGCCCATGGGTGGCCTTGAAGGTGTCATTGCAGCTGTCTGAGTAGAGGGGTTCAACTGAGGTAGATTGAGTCAGAGATGGCTCTCCACACTGTGTGAATTTCACATGGAGACAGCCGACTGGGAACTAGTCAGTGCTTTCTCCACCCTGTAGTGTTTGAAGGATGACTTCCTCCTCTGCTTGGACACTTATTTGAGAGAAGCAATCCAAATTCTACCAAAATAAATGTATTTATAGAATCATGATGACTGTTAAAAAATGATAACTGAGATTTCCTTGCACTAACTGTGTATAATTTGAGCTACTGTGTTTAATAATATTTGAAAGATATATTAGAAGATTTGACCAGTTCACTCAGCATCTGAGACCTAATGTGTTTAAAACCAGCTACTGATGACTGTTGCTCAGGCCAGAATCCTCCTTGTCACCCTGAGTCTTTGCCCTTCCTTGGTCCAGTCTCAACAGCCCATGTTTTATTTACCTGAATATTCAGTCACCTAGATTGAAGTCATTGCCCCCACACCCTGCTGCCTCTGTTGATCCACTCACTGAATTTTCACTTAAACATTTCTGCCCTCCTAGAATGTATTTGTCCTAAAATAAGTGGGTTCCAGTCTGTATTCCAGGTTCCCAGTAGAGTGTCCCACACCTGTAAGAAATCAATAAGTATTTACCAAATTTCTCCCAATCCAAACATAATTCTTGATTATATTTAGTGTTGGGCATTGCATTATGCATGAAAGTTGTAAAATATAGTCAAATGTATCCTTTTGATTTGGATAGAAGTATGTGGCAATGTCTCCTAAATTACTATGTTTTTAGGTACACAGTGTCAATTTAAGCAATTTTGCCTCCACAAATCCTGTTCCAGAAATAGATCTATTATTCACACACTCGTTATGATTTTGACAGGTCTCTTATTTTAACTTTGCTCTCTGTCACACTTTCATTTTCTTTCAGAAAAGAGGCACAGCTGGATGAAGAAGGCCAGTTTCTTGTCAGAATAATATATGATGATTCCAAAACATATGACCTTGTGGCTGCGGCAAGCAAAGTCCTCAGTAGGTTCAATGAATCCTTTCTTCTCTGGAATTACCACACATAGTTTGACAAAGGACTATGTGCCCCAAGACCACAGTGTAGGATTAGACAAGTTGTTCACTGAACAACCATGGTGGGGCAATCATATGACGCTAGGCTGGGGCTATGTAGAAGCCTGTCTATCCAGTATAAGCTATTTATTGAGTAGAAAGGAGAAAGTGTAAATCTCTCCTTCCCATTCAAGGCCTTGTATTAAGAAAACACAACTACTAATATTTCAGCAATAAAAACTTCAGTTACAGAACCAACCATAGAGTGAGTATTCAAAGGCAGATTGTAGAAAACATTATTCTCAAATGTGTGTTATAATAATAGGCTAGGTGAAGCACTGGAAAAAGAGAGAGGAAATTCATTGACAAACAAAATTTATAGATAAGACGCATGGCTGAAAAATAAATGGAATTCAAACAGGTTTCATGGAGCAAAGTTCTTCTTGTATTAATCTTCCCAGGGGCTCCATGTGCATCTGGACTGTAATCTATACAGGAGACCATGATATTCTCAGCTCTACTGGGCAGTATTTATGTCTTAGAGACAAGCCTTCTAGATTGTTAATAAAAAGAAATAAGCCACAGCCATTATGAAAGAAAATATGGGGTAAACTTCTAAAATACTAATTTTTAAGTTTGTAAAACTGAAATATCTGTTCGAGTCAAGAGTAGAGCTAAAGAGGAAATAAGACATTTTCAATTTTATGATAAATTAAGACAAGTTTGGGAACTGACTTTTTATTATCCAAGTTGCTTAAAATATGTTAAAACTCTGTTAATATATTCTGAAATTCATTGTGTGTGTGTAAAGTATACGTGTTTGTGTGTGTGTGTGTGTGTGTGTGTGTGTGTGTGCATGTACAAAATCGCATGTGTTTGTGTATGCACACCATATGTGTGCATTTTAAGGCCAGAAATCAGTCAGGTGTTTTTGTCAATCATTCTTACTTCTTCAAAATACATTTTTAAATTTTTTGAGATTATAATGTAATTATATCATTTTCTTATTCCTTTTCCTCCATCTAAACCCTCTCATGTATACCACCCACTCTTTCAAATCAATGACCTCTTTTTGTTTATTATGTCACACACACACACACACATATGCACATACATATGCTTGTGTGTACTCCTAAATACATGAATACCACCTGCTCAGACCATATGATGTTACTTTTATGTATATGCTTTCAGGGATGACCATTTGTTATTAAGTAACCAACTGGTGTGCTTTTCCCTGAAAAAGACTGTTTCTTCTGCTCTCAGCATTCCTTAGTTGCCTGTAGTTCTTCTTATATGGCTGAAGTTTCCTGAACTTCCCACATCCATACACACTAACATGTTTATTAGTGTCATCCTTGTTCAGCTCCTGTTTCGGCAGCCATAATGGTGAGACTTTGTGTGTATAGTTTTTTACATATCTAGGAGACACAATCTCACAGCAGATTCCCTATTCCTCTGGATTTTACAGTCTTTCTGGTCCCTCTTCTGAAATGATCCATGAGACTTAGGTAGAGTAGTTGTGTTGTAGATACATTAATTTGGACCAGGTTCCCCAACTCTGCATTTTGGGCAGTTGCATCACCTTATTTTCTGAGATAGGATCTCTCACTGAACTTGGAGCTCATGATTTGCCTCGATGACTCATTGGCAAGCAAGCTCCAATGATCCCCCTGTCTCCAATCCATCAGCACTGGAGTTACAGAGATGTACCACTGTATTTGGCTGCTATATGAGGGCTGGGGTCCAAACACAGGTTGTCATATTTGTGAGACAGGTACTTTGCCAAAGGCTCCAGCCAGCCAGTCTCCTCACACTGTTAATAAATTTTCACTGAAGATACATGAGATCTGCTTCTTACTAAGATTTATGACTAAGTGGTTTTCTTAGAACTATTTATATAATCAAACACAAAAGGTCTGTACTTTCAATAAGAGAAGAGTGGTTGAATAAATTAATACACGCCTATGTCAAATAAGATGTCAGTCAAAATCCATATAGAAAATGTAAATGCTTAAAGTTTAGGAAATATTAATGACTACATATCAAGAAAAAATCAGGATATTAGAATATACACTATGGCAAAAATTAGTAAAATGCTTATGTTTGTCTAAAGCAAAGTTATTTTGCAACAAAAGTATCTTATACTTATTTATTGTGTGTGTGTGTGTGTGTGTGTGTGTGTGTGTGTAGTATACAGATGCTTATGTTCCACTGCATATATGTAGAGGTCAGAAAAGAACTTCCAGAAGTCCTTTCCTTCTATCATGTAGGACTTGGGCATCAAACTCTGGTCACTGAGCTTCGTGGAAAGCACATTTACCCACTGAGCCATTTTGCTGTCCCTGTGTCTTTGCCTTGGATAAACTGTTTCTCAAAAGAAACAATACATTAATTATATAATTATAAACCACTAAACTTAAGTGTGTTACTATGTAAGTTGAGAAAATGGTTACAATGCTAATAGTGTGAATTACACTATTAACATGTTAGCACATAGTTTTCTCCAGTTTCATTGCAGTATGCTGGTCTGAGATTCTTAGTCTATGTTCATACAGTATCTATATTCATACTGTACAAAAATTGTGGATATTTTAAATCATTTTCATATAGACTTGTGTTTATTCTTCTCATTGACACTTTTCTGCCTGTTTTTTTTTTTTCCTCTTTACCCTACAAAACAGACCTCAATGCTGGCGAAATCCTGCAGATGTTTGGGAAGATGTTTTTCGTCTTTTGTCAAGAGTCTGGCTATGACACCATCTTGCGTGTCCTGGGATCTAACGTCAGGGAATTTTTGCAGGTGAGAAGTTTGAAGTCATGAGAGAGAAGGCTCTCAGTGTCAGTTCTTAAATGTGAGCTCTCCAGTACTTCTATTTAGCCAATTGGACAAGAGTGTCTTGCTCCTGAAGAGGAACCCTAGTGACCATTCTCACATAAAATCTAGTTATTTGATGATCCTGCATATATTCCAGCACTTCCCATAATGTAGTTTCATAGTTGCTACTTGTTAACTCTAAATATGCAAGCCATCAATTAGTATTCTCTTAAAGTCCAAATGGTCTATTATTATCTGTTCAATCGCCTTTGAGTAAGAATTACAGATATGAATGCTGCGATCTTCTGCTTACTATATATAATATAGTTTTATTCTTTGTAATATACTCTTAAAACTAAGGTCTCATTGAACAATGTAACAGTATTCAGGAAGTCCTGCCTGGCATCCTTAGTAGGAGAAAGGAGGAGGGGTGATGAGAGGTTAGGAGAGTGTTGTGTCAGGTATCCTAATTAGGAAAACTAATTTGTTGCCTTAGAGTTACAAATTACACATCTCTCTCTCTCTCTCTCTCTCTCTCTCTCTCTCTCTCTCTCTCTCTCTCT